GAGCACAGAGCTGCAGGGAAAAGCAGGCCACTGTTAAGGACTTGCCTCGCTGTGGTGCTGTAGCTTTGCTATTCACTTGAGCAGCGCGGAATCGCATCCAAAYGCATCAGTCCCGAAGCGCTGCAATTCACTGGGACACATTGTTAGCCGCAGCCTTTCAGCTCTCTGCAGGCTTGGCCTATTTCCCCTTCCTTTTATACAGCRTGCAATCCATTTAGGGTTTTATAGYGGCTTAGAGGCACGTGTCCTGTGCCTTGCCTCGACTCGCTTTGTATTCTGTGATAAGAAGGCTCGGGGTTACAGAGTCTTCAGTATTTCTCTCCCCTCCGCCATTCACTCTGAATGGAAAACTGTTTTTTGTTTTTGTGTGTGTATTTTTGAGGTCGGGCAATGTCCTGGTCRCTCACAGGAGATGTCTGAGTATTTGCCACACAGATCTGCAGACCTGCTCTCCTGTGGTGCTGTAAGCAAGGGGCTAAAGCCAGACCGGAGGAGAGCACAGGCATGGAGGCAGGAAAGATGATGAAGTCAAAAGCAATCTGGGAGGAAATCCTTGATCGGTATAAAGTGACATGATTCTCATGCACTGGCTTTTAATGCTGAAAAGCAAAATCTTTGGTTAGGACATTCACCCTCTGCCCTTTCCCGTCAGCTCTTGGTCTCCCACAAATGTAGCGCCTCAGGTTACAGAGGGGAGAATTTGTATTTGCATTTGCCTCTTGTTGCCTGCAGCCGAAATGCTTTGTACCCTTCCACCTCCATTCCTTCACTTTCCGGTCATCGTGGGGCAAATGCAAATGCTTCATGTTTCCGTGCTTCACTCTGTCCTGCTCCCTGCAGAATTTGATTTTAAGGCATATAAAGAGCAGAGCTACAAAGGCAACTGCTGACACCACCATAGAGAAATTCMGTGAATTTGCCACTCATCCCCAGCTTGTTCAAATTTTATGTAGTCTCTGTGTTGTTACCTCCTTGGAGGTGGTTCCTTACACAAAAATATAAAGTATCCAGCTGTCATAATTACTTACACTGAGTGTATTGGAGGTTATATACTCCCAAAAGGACATAAGTCCACCTGTTAAAAAGGGACACAAGATTCAGGAGCCCTGCTAGCTCAACATTAAGCCTGATTTTAAAAGCCTTTGACAACACCCTGACTGAAGGCACTAATGGTGTAAAAAGCAAGTACTCTGACAGGGTGCCCTGGAGACACGGAGCACTGTTTCTGAAAGAAAAGGGTAGCACAGGGTAAATAATAACTTTGCAGAAGTCAAACAGCATTACATCAGTCAGGCAGGTGCCCTTGTACTCCTCCAGCTGTTGCAAACCTAAGTCAGAGCACGTTCATCTCTGCCTGMATGAAGAGCTTTTAGAGAAAGGCCGGCACGACACTCAGTACGAAGAGGAGAGAAAATGTGAACACTACTGAGGGTTTTATATGTGACTGCTGCAGTCTCCTTTTAGCTCCAGGTGTATTTATATTATGTATCCTATGTACTTTATTGTAATATTTAAAACTTTGGGTAAGCAGTTGAGCAAGAGAAGCCAGGTTCATGACACTTGACTGGAGCTGTGGCAGACACACTGCCTTGTGCCCTGCTTCTTGGGCATTGCCAAGATTGCTGGTGACTTGTATAACCATTCTCCAGGTGAGATTTCTACTCCTGACAAAATCAAGATTTAACTATACAGCTCTCATTTTTAAGGTAGTCTACTTATAAATAGATTGGCTGAGCAACCAAGTAGCTGGGAACCTACTGTAAAGATTTGAAAATATTAATTTCTGTTTGAATTCTGTTTCACCTTTGGTGTTCATTTTTTCCATTTGTCTCAGCTGCCTGAAATGTTTTCCTTTCTGGTGAATTATCATTTGTATTCAGCTCCCACTGTATTGCTAGATAAGCATGCTATCTGACTTGAAGCACAAAAGCCTTCGAAGAAAGACAACTTCAGCTTTAAAAGGGAAATAAATGGCCTTCCCTGTTGTGAAGCTCGACATTGCTCCATTGAGTGTTTCATGTCTATAGTCTATCCTGACCTCCTGATCTGTTCCTGAATCAGCTACTGACTGTCTTAGGAGGATATGGCACAACCATTTCATGCTCTGCCAGCTCTCTCCTGTCCTGACCATTGGTGATACAGTTATCAAACTCAAGGTATTGTACTTTTCAAATGTATTTTAAAATTTGCCCTGAGATCTCCCAGTGAATGTTGTCAGACGTGGGCGGGATGTAAGTGCTTACACTACTAATGTGGAATCTGGAATGCAGATGATATGTTTAATTTCATATTTGTAAGACTCATTCGATGAATGGACAGGAAAAATATTTTTGTGAGATTATCAATCCAAATAAAACAAACACAGTGATTCAAATTTACACTATTTTGTGATGAATGCAAAGGGAACAAAACAAACCAAAATAAATCAGTCCCTAAGCTGAAACAATGCAGCAATTTGAAGAAATCACAGTCTGCTCACAGCTAGTCTACTAGCCGCGACATCAGATGAATTTGTTGAATATACGGCTCTTTGCAAATCATTCATTCTGCTCTTGTTCAGTGTCCACGGGGCTTTCTGTCTACTGAATGAAAATAGTGCTATATCTTTTAATCTCTTGTTGTGGTTTTATGTCCCTCATGGAGATAGCAGGCAAAATTAACTCTTCGCCTACTAGTGAGATCGAGCAGAATTTACTGATAATATTTAAAAAAAGATGTAAAAATTTTCTTTCATTCTTTCCGCTTTTTTTATATCAGTCACATAGCCAACTGTTCTCTTTTCCCTTGATGTTTGAATTTTCCTCCTTTGTTCTAATTTTAAGATACCACCTCCCATCATTTTTCTTTTTGGAAAATCATAAGGAATTAATGATGGAAGAGACCCCAAGAAGTAATTTAGTCTAGATCTAGCCCTTTTTTTCTAAGACAGGATCAACTATACCCATCTTAATGAATTCTAGTGGTGGCAAGTGCAAATCCTTCCCATATAATCTATAGCACTGCTTTTATTACTGTCCTTATTGTTAGAAAGGTTTCCTAGCACCTAATTCAATACCTCAACTCACTTTCCCTTACAGATTTTCAGGATATTACTCTTTGTAATATCCAACGGCCATTGGAGATAGAGAATTTTTCCTTTTGCAGTGACATCCATATACCTGAAGAGAGACATTGTGCCATTTCTCTTCTTTTCTCTTTGAAGTAGGCATCCAGCTTCTTCACAGCTTCCTTGCACTTTGCTTGTGAACATGGTGTGTTCTTGCATGCTGGCACTGAGTCACCCATAACTGCCCTTGGGGCCCAGCAAGACAAGCACAGATAAAGCTACCAAATGTTTACATACACCCTATACATGTTTCATCAAGACCACTCTTCCCTGGCGTGCTTATGAGAACATTGTGTGAGACTGAGTTAAAAGCTTATCTAATATACTGCTTCTCCTTGAGCTACTAAAATTGTCATAGAAAGAAATTAAATTTGTTCAACATGTTTCTCCTTGATCAGTCCATGCTGTTGATTCCTTATCCAATTGTCTTCTTCTGYGGGCTGACTGATGATTTGTTCCAGATTTTTTCTATGAATTGTTCATATTCAAACTTTTTCATGAAGAATGATCAAAAAACAAAAAAAGCATTGATATCTTCTTTTAGTAAAACACCTCTTTTAAATCAGAGGATGAAGGTTTCTGTTGCCTTATGTGTAACAGGGCACTACCAGCTTTTATTGGAAAGATAATTGAATTTGTCTTTATTCATTGCTTGTCAATCCCCATTGCTTCCAGGAAGCAAGTAACAAGCAAATTTTAAAGATGTGAACAAAGTTATAAAATATATTCCAAAGAGATGAAGCAGTTTCTTTTGATGGAAAGACTTCATAACTTTATATAGATTATTGAAAAGAAGACCAAGAATAGATTTGATTTTAGTTTATCCGTTTACCATCAGAGATGAATAAAACAGTTATTAAGATACTTTTTGTCCTCACTGAATAGATCATGTGAATCAGGGGAAACTGAAAGCAAATTTTTAAAGACAAGATTGGTTGAACTTGTTTCAATAATAGGACTTAGCAGGTGACTGATTTGGCATTTCTTGAGTCATTCACCACCTGAAGTCCGCATGACTTTGTGCAAGAAATGTTTTAGCCCAGCAGATCACTAAATTGGATCTTGGAAGATGGAATGAAAACCTCACTGACTCCCGATGTGTTGTTTCTGTGGCTCCTGGGACAGTGTTCATGCTCAATGAAGTCAATAAAGCTGAGGCAGCCTGGACCAGGTAGAGCTCTGCTGTGTTCAGGATGGTCCTTCCACAAGAGAACCTGCCACTCCACCATACAGTACTCTGTTTTGGCAGGATCTCTTCTAGACAGCCAAATGCAAAGAAGATAAATAACTGCTCCATGCTCATCCCTCCATGTGTTAACCCTGCTCTCCTGGATATTTTCCCTGGASCCCACGTGCAGCCAGGCTGTGTGGCAGAACAGCAAGGTACGTGATACAAGTCTTGAAAACACCAGGCACTCCAGCCACAGCATTACTGTGTGTTACAGTAATGTAGAAAAATACAGAAAATCAAAATACTACCCTGTAGATCTAAACAGAAATATCGACATTTTAGTGGAAGCCAATATATGCTTATTAACACTATTTAACATATTAGAGTGCCTATGACAAATGTCACTATTATATAAATAATTTCAGTAATTAAGAACTACTTATGACCCTAGTCTGACCAACTGCACTATTTTAGTTAACCAGACAGAAATACATACGTTGTTTTCCACAGGTACTTGGAAAGGGTTCAATTTAAACCAATTAATAAAATAGCCTGTTTGGACAAAAAATAATTGTTCTATGAGAATACATGAATTCAACAGTGCTAGAAAATCCTTGCCATCTGACGTAGAGGGATTTATAGGTTTAGTGGAAATTGCTTTCCCCACTGTCCAGATTAAATACTGCAGGATGATTTTTTGTATGAGTAAACATCCTTCCAATAACGATCAGACCGATAATGTCTTAAAAAGAGAAAGAGAGTCTACATTTTGGGTTTCTTCTTCCTGTATGGACTATTTCTGGATGCAGAACCTTAAAGCATCATGTTGACTGTCCATAAAATGCATTTTAGCATCTTCTTGCTGTTGTGGGGATGGGTTTTATGCACTGAATGCAGAGTCCACCGACAAGGAAAGGAAATACATGAGGTATACAAGAAAGGCAGGTGAGTGTCATTTTTTACAATCAGGTTTGTTCTGTTTGGAAAAATGTATTGTTACAGATGAACATATAATATCTAAGAGAAAGCTGGACTTTGCATGTGCAGATTGTGGTTTAATRTATTTTATTTTGCTGTTTTTGCCGATGTAAAAGGATTAATGAATTTTGCACAATGAAAAATATTTATCCCAAAAAGGTTTGTGAARGGTTTCAAAGTTTAGAATAGTGAAAAAAAAGGAAACACTGAATGTTATTTATTGTGATTATATTTGATGAAGTATTTACATGAAAGAGAATAGGAAGCTTAGGTCAGGGATTGCTTTATTGGCTGAGATTGGCTGGGAATTTGATATGAAAAGATTCACAATTTGTTTTCTTATTCACATATTGGATTGTTTTATAGCACTTTTGAGGGGGAAAAATGCCAGTCTTTCTGCAAACCTCAAGGCTACAATCAGTTAGCAAAAGAAACAGAAAAAAAGACATTCAGAGTACTGAATGAAGATCAAATATTCAGTCTATATTTTCCTTCCCTCTCCCTCTCACTGTCAAAGTGTCTGTTTGAAAATTTTCCTCCTACTATCTTGCAGACATCCATTTTAAGAGATTTTAGTTTGAGAACGATTTTTTTTCTGCAACTGTTTCATGTTGAGTTTCGATTACTTTTATTCTGTTTGGTGAATATTTAGAATTTTATATGAGGATTTTTAAATTCAGAGACATCACAAGGTATATCTGGAGGAAAAATCTTTTTTTTTTTTTTTTAAGATGGTATATTTATATGGAGTTACTGTTTAAACGTTGTTTTCTTCTGCTTGTCACAGACTGTAACTCCACAGTTTCTCCTTTGCTATAGTCACCATTTGTGTTATTTAATGACTCCAACTCAACATCAACACTGCAAAGTGCCCTGCACTGGAAATGCGGGAGCATTTGCCTTCAGGAAAAAAATGATAAAACTTTGAAAAGAGGAAAGCATAGTGCCTATATATTTTCCAGGCCCTTTACACCTATGGCACAGAAAAGCAAGACAGGACTATACCATACAGCCACTGCAGGGCCATGGTCAGCTCGGGGGGGTTCACGAGCCATCTTGCATGTACGAAATGGCTTCAGTAACGACGCCACCTTAGCGGAGGTAGAACTGCCAAAATGGATGCAGTTGTTCTGGTCATGGCCAGCGTCCAGGGGCTACAGTACCACGGACGGCACTGTTGTGAGATAGCCAGGAAGCTTTTCTTTGCACTGAGGTTTCATGAGAGTGCTGACAGAGGTGATATGCCAACTGCAACAAAATCGGGAACTGAAGAGCAGGTATAGCACCTCAAACCATAAAGTTTCCAGCACAAAAGGACATATAAAGCACAGCCATTTTCTCTTCTAGCTATTTAACACAAACTCTTCCAGCACTTTAAATGCTGGTGCAATTACAGGGGAACATAAGAAGCCGTCACAGAAGGAAGTATTGAAAATATGCCAAAAAAAGGGTGATGGGCRGGGGGAAGCATTCAATTCATACAGGAACTATCTCTTCACCTTCACAGGTGTGAAAGCCCTGCTGCTGTGTCCAGATTCCACCTCACAGTGATCCTGTGATTATTTTCACATGGGAAATAAAGGATATCAGATGCCTCGGTCTGAGTTGCTACTATGGTGGCCAAGGCTTGGAGCCACTCCTGTGAAGGAGGAATGACCCTGCCAGGGAGTCACAAAGTGTCCTGTGCCTGGGGACACAGGTCCCCTGCGCTCCTTGTGCAGCCGCGCTGGCCTGGGAGGCCATTTCTGGCCTATTTCAGCCTTAGAATTGGGSAGTATCTGTAGCCAGGAGGGCTGATGGAGAGAGGGGAGCAGCCGTGGTGTCCAGCAGCAGCAGCAATGCCCACCAGCAGCGTGGGGCCCACCTCAGTGCTCACTTCACCCTGTGATGTGATAGGCCAAGACAGACTGATAATTTTAACAGTCTCATATTTTTAAGATCAGAAATGACTATTGCGGACATCTATCTGATTGCCCACTTAATACAAGCATCAAAGTCTTCTACATAATCTGTATGTTGTACCGCTAAATTCTGATCATTATTCTTAATGTMAGATTAAATTCAGAATAGGTTTGAAAGATTTTAGTGCTCCAAGCACTYCTAGCACTCCTAGTGCATACTCTGTATGCATAACAGTGCATGYGGAGTAACTCCCATTGGCCTTTTGGGACTACATTAACAGTCTCCATTGCAGACTTGCAGTGGGATCTCATCCTACAAGTACAGCCAGTCCTCTCTGCTTTTACATGTAGTACCTTCACATCCAGGAACAGTATTAAGGTGCTGATCACATGAGACAATTCTGAAGTAGGCAAGATCTCTTTGCATTTCAGTCTTGTCTTTTTCCATTGCAAAAATGATCCTGGGAGAAAAACAGGACAAGAGTGGATGCAATGAAACATTAGAAGTGAAAGTTTGTAGTGAAGACTGCTCTGGAATATTCTGGTGTTGATATTTCTCCTTTCTTCAAGACTCAATTATGAATATTTATTTTGTAGATGTTGCCATAATTTGTGTTACTTCTCCCTGAGCACTACTGTCTCCTATTTCCTAAGGCTTGAGACGAGAACAAAGAGGGTCCAATCTATCCCCTCACTAAAGCCTCTCTCTGTTGGCTAAAACTTGCCTGGGTGCACAACTTACCTGGCGACAGGCTGTGAGCACATTAGCTGCATAGGCTGATATGGAGAATCCACTCAAAGTGCCAAACATAGTGGCCAGACTGGCTCCACAGCACGGCAACATGCTCAGGGCTGATTTAGTTTGCACCCATGTCTTTTTAGCCTTTAGGGGCATGAGACCATCAACTTGTCCAACTGCTAGAGCTCAAAGCCATCTACCAGTGCAGGTACTGTTGCAGATACCTGCTGCCTTTTTTGTGCTGCTGTTTTCCTTCTCTTCTTAAGAGACGTGCCCGGCTCTGCTCCTAGTTCTCACAGTGTAGTTGTTGGAGGAAAGGCAAAGGTGCTTACCTTGTTTCTTTTGATGGTGCCATTCCACTAGTGCCATTTTACTCCAGAAAGACTCAAAAATGCTCTGAACTCTGTTTTCAACTAAAAACTCACCATTCACTCAGCAGTTTTCAGCCTCGGGGCTTGCCTGTTCATGTGCCAAAAAATGACCCCAAAGCTTTCACAGCACTGCTGATAAGAGGAGGCAAATGAGGTGTGCAGGGTCAGACATCATCTCTGTCACAATTTTTGGCACTGCAGACACCCCAAAATAGCTTTTCTAGAATGAAACAGAAAGGCCTTGAAAAAGGATGGGCTGAGAGGCGTGGTTTACCCCACCACAGTTCACAYAGTGCCATTTGGGGTTGAATTGGCATGACAGGAATTTTGCAAAAGGTGCTGAAAAAATTCTTCGAATGAAAAGCTGATGAGGCTTTGGAACACAATGCAAAGTGTATCAAGATAATGGCAAATAACTGTGGGTCTGAAAGTGGCAGTGTAGCTACCTTTAGTGTATGAGACTTACTACAGAGCCCTCCAGCACTGTAATTCACTGTTAAAAATGTCTGTCAATCAAATAACCAACTACTGATCTTTGCTAATCTCCAGGACAAGTCTCCTCAAAGGAATTCCTCTTTAAAGAATGGCAGTACAAAAATGAAACCTTTCTAGTCTTGCTGAGCTGTTCCCAGTGTGCAGTGAGCTGCGTGCAGTTCACGCAGGGTTTGCAGTGCTTCCTGCTCCTGCTAATTCCACCGTGCCAGAGCTCATACAGGAAGGAGCTGAGCTCCAGGGCATCAGCACGGCAGCTGACTGCTGCTTTCCCAAATGTTGCTCTCTTGAAAAGCCACCAGGCTGCCCGGGGGGCACCAGAAGGGTAGTCTAAAGGTCACAAGTCTTTCGACCAACCAAACGGCCAAAGTCTGTGTTGCTAATTAGACTTACAGAATCGTTACCGCTAGAGAGGATGAGCAATAGGAAAAGAACTAGCCTGGAGCTGAGCCCAGGTTGTTCTGCCAGAGCCAACTGAAGAGGAAAAGAATTCTCTTTTAACACTAAAATCTCCCCAGCCAACACTGAACAGACAACTGACACTCAATAGGTTTCACTGCCCAAGAGCTATGGATCTTGTTTGTTTAATCTTAGCTAAGAGACTTGTTTTCAGTCACAGCCTTACTCATTCTCTGCCTGTTTTGTTTACCTCAATCTGTTCTCCAAATAGCAGCAGATTTTCTGCTCCTCTAGTGCTCCCTGTCCATGTTTCTGACAGAGTAGTTGAATGACATCCGTTGCAGCAAACCCTTGGCTTGTTATCAGAAGGTCTCTCTCATAGCAAAAGATTTTTCTCCTTAAAACATTTTCACACATTATTGTAATTAAGGACGCTCTCCCTAACAGATGACATCTACCCTGCATCATTACGGCCAAGCTTCCTTCCCAGACATTGCGCAAAGGCTCAGATCCTGCTGAACTTTTGCAACATTAAAATTACATTCCCTAGCTTTGGTTAAATTCAGACAGAACTTYGCTATTATCAGCACATCTGCACCTGGCCGTGCTGTCTGCAAGCTGTTTGCAGCCTGTAAATCATACATAGATATTTTCATACCTTCACTGAAGCTGCCTCCTACATGTAGAGTGAATTTTAACTTCTTGCCCTGTGAGTGAAAAAGACTTACTAATGCAAACTGTCTTTAGAGCAGATCTCCAGAGTGCAAAGTAAGCCTGCAAAAAGCCCCATAAAAGCATTTCCCATATAAGCCACGTTGTAGGCAGTGAGCCAGATACAGTGGGACACTGAGCACCCACCGCTCCCAAGCCACTATTATTTAAGAACAGGAGACACTGGTAGCACTGGATATCTCAAGAGCAGTAAGAGGCCTGGTGTGGGCTTATGGCCAATGAAACCATGTTGTCTTCATCTCCTCCATCTACTGATCTACTTGTTTTACCCTTTCCTCCTTTCATCTCCATGCCTCTTTTCACCTCCACCTCCTTTCCTCCTTTTCTTTCCCC